AGACAGATTGCATCATTTTTGTGGATGAATACATGGCTTATTTTGGCTTTCTCCAAACATTTCTTTTATAAACTGGAATATGCGAACATGAGGAAGAATTTTGACATGACTTACTGTAGTATTTCTTACGTGGCATTCTTTTCCTGACAAATATTAACTATAGATACAGGATATGTATATAGAACTAATGTTTGGTGAAGTTGGGAATATATATGAAAACGTAGGCAAGTCTGTATATAAGAACTGGGCACAATCATATAGACGTGTTCAAATTCTACTGGAAAAAAATCCAAAAATTGGAAAACACTCTTGAGAAAGGTTGATTTTAACAATAAATTCTATGAGTAATGTGGCCCAGTAAAGTTTGGATCTTAGATCTTCTTTTTTTAAAAAAAAAAAACTATTTATTGATTCTTTGTGAGTTTCACATCATGAACCCCAGTTCTGCTCATCTCCCTGTCCCCTCATAACCATCCTTTGTCCTTGAAACCTCCTCCCACCCTGAACACACACACACACACACACACACACACGCACACGCACGCACGCACGCAAACAACAACAAAGCATAGAAAACATCTCGTCATGGAAGCTGTAGTATGTCACATTGTGTCCCACAGTGTATCCCTCTGTCCACACATCTTCACTTGCAAATGTTCTTTGCAATGAGTGATTGGTCTAGTTTGAGGCAATCTCAGGCTTCTAGGACACCATCAATATTGGATCTTCAACTGGATTGTCCCCTGTTTTCCTTTTTTTTTAAAATTTTTAAAAAAATTTTTTTTTGAACATGAAATTTTTTTTTAATATTGGGGAGCCTTCCTTTATGACAATATTACACCCCAAACTGACAAATGGTTGGTAACTTGAACACTTACAAGGGACTAGGATGGCTGTGAGTTAGCCCAATGATGGGGATTATTGTAGGTCCACTTCCCAGGGGCCCATCCAATGCAGCCGAAAAGGAGTCCATGGTGCTGGGAGTGGGTGCAGCCTACATGGCTTAAGACAGGGCTCTCACCCTCCTTTCACCCACCTCGGGGTCCCTTGAAGTTGCCCATTGTTGACAGCCTAAAGCCTTCGACCATCAATGTGACTTGTCTCACATCAATGTTTTGGGGTTGTGAACTTGTCTAAGACCCCCCATAATTAGACATCCAAATTCAAAACTCACATAGTTGGGATTGATCATAAGACGCCTTCTCTAACTAAACAGAGAAAGGGGAGATGCCAGAAGCCAGGACCCTCGCCCTTACCCTCATCCCCTACCTTTCCCCACCTGCACAATGTCCCCTGAAGCTTGGCAACTGCAAGATCCTGCTTGGCAACTGCAGATAGACTCAAAGCAGTGTACCATATCTTCTGAAGAATAGCAGGAAGATCTTAGATCTTCTACCGCCTATTTGCAGGAATGAGTGTACATGTCCACAGTTACCCAGGACCTCACTGTGTAGTGAAGCCCCCAGTGAATCCAGGGGTGATTTTTCTATCTTTATCCCCTAAGTGTGGCATGAGCTACCATGATCAGCTTTACTTTTTGTCCTCCAATGTTTCTCCATAGATTATTTTTAAGATATAGTTAGTTCAGCCAACTGCACTTTAAGTTTTCTTGGACTGTATGGTTTGCTGAAACACTTTAAATTAAACATGAAATATTGATAGTAGAATAATCAGTTTCTATAAGTTTCTCTGTGACATAGGATGGAATTATTCAATATTAACTTCTGAATAAAAGGCAGAAAAGCAATTTTACAAGCCAGATAAATTTTGTCCATGATGAAGTCACTATCTAAACAGGTTCCTACTAATATCTGTATAAAGCAGATGGACCAACAGCAGAGATGACTGTTTCCAAAGCAGAAGTAGGATCAATTATGATAATAATTCCCTTTTTAATCTGAGAAATTATTGATACCATGTGTACCAGAGAAATATGTTTGTCTTTAAAAAATCAGAACTCTGAAGATTAGACTCCTCATGCCAGCTCTCAAAATTAATTTCTACAGGGAATTTTAAGAGGTTAGACCAGTATCTTAACCGTAGTCCCCTGAATGAATTAATAAAAGGAATAGTATATTTCCACTGGGATTAAATATCCATTCATACTTGTATTCACCACTCTACTTTTAGGTCTCTATTCTGCAATCATTGTGGTCCCTTCTGATCAGTTGCTTTTCCTATATAACAGGGAAATATTAAAGTAAACAAACAAAAAGTAAAACCATATAAAACTATATATTATAAAATACAATTCAACATAATCCACTTCAAAAATAAGCTGGAATTCTTCACATTGTAACAAGTTCTGATTAGATTAAACAGCAACATTGGAATAGACCAACTGAGAATCTATACTGTGGTTGTACAGTCAGTGATAATGTCAGTGAAGAGGTAGCTTCAAAATAGAAAACACAAATAAACAAAGCAGACGAACCTGTGAAGAATGATATTCCCATAAGTAGTTTGTGCAATGCAGAAATTTCATAGTCACTGGCTATGAGCAAGAGACTAACTGCAGAGATTAGAAATCACGAGAGAATGCATCAACAGATAACCTGTGGACTGAACATACAGGGATGCCCCTAAAGATAGACATTTAATGGAACACATAGAAATGTTAATAGTAGTAAAGCTATCTCATGAGACAATACATTTTACTTAAATTTTTATATAATAATTTTATAAACCATTGGCTGTCACATGTAGTTTGCAAGTGGCTGAAATTGTGCTCAAGATGTTTACTCTAAGCAAGACTATTTAGTTAGAATAGATTTGAACAAAGATCTTACCCAATTTCTGAGTCTGAAAGAAAACACCACACATTGGGTGCATTGTGAAAAGGGGTCCAAGTGGTTCAGTCTTCTGTAGATTTTAGAACATGGTGAGTTCTCAGTTCTGGGGGACTGTGCAAAATGCCAGGCAACAAACACAGTAAGAAGTGTATGGAGAAGGGGCCACATAGACATCTAGGAGTCAAGTGACAGAGACAAGCCAGATGTGATTTTGGATTATTTTTAAAACAAAATTTCCTATGGAAACATCACTTCCATCCTTCTACATCAAAACTACTTCTGAGACATAGCATTGATCCACTTAATGGTGAGGTCCTCCTGACTAGTAATTCCAGCAAGGTTCCATTTCCAAAAGTTTCTACTGTGTTTACACTGTAACTCTGAACACTAACCTTCCAGCAATAAACCCTGGGACACAAGTCACATTCAAGCAGTACCAGTCACATTCAAGCAGTACCATATGCATTTCCAGCTATCAACATGCCAGAATTTTTTTTCTAGGAACATAGAGATGGAAATTTCTGAAGGAACAAATTTATATACTAATTTTGCTGGACAATGAAATTTATATTTCCAAGATATCATTCCAATCTACTGCCGTGTAATGCGAGTATATGCCTGTAGATATTATCACAATATTTTCATGATAGAAGTTTGATTTTTTTTCCTCTTGAAATTTTTATGTATCCTTGGTTGTATTAAAACATTCTTTCTACACATGCTTTGTCATTTTTAGGTTCTGAAGATATCATCTCCAAAATTTGTACATATGTTGTTTCCAAGTCAGTTGCAGGGGAAAATGCCTTTCAAGTGGCTTTGTTTACAATTGCTATCTAAATCTTGACTTCCATATTATTCAGTAAGGAGATACAGTTACAATTACAACTTTGAGGAAAATATATCTTATGAGTTGTTGTCCATCATAAAATCTAAGGAAAGCTTCAGCATTCACACTAAGGATAAGGATGAGCCCAGAGCTAAGAAAACATGTCAATCATGACAGCTTTACACCATTTAACTTCAAGTTCATGATTAAAGTAGACACTGTCCATTTCTAGGAAAGGTCATCCAAAAAATACATTCATGGTATATTTATAGTGAGCAAGGCATGAAAAAAAGAACTAAAATTTCAATCAGGCTACAAGAAGTCAAAATAATTATATTTGGTAACCGTAAGTATGATACTCTAAGATCACGAACTGTATTGCTTTGGCTCAGGTATTAATACAGAAAGATGCTATTTAGACATTATTTAGATGGTATGTAGACAGTGGGTACAGTGTGAAGGTTGACGTTTACAACGCTGATTTTATTCCTAAGATTACTTGGCTCTATTTTTTAAGCTTACTTGGTATCTTGATGTTAGGGAATTGAACAATAAAATAAAGTAAAATGAAAGAAAGACTGGAAGCCATATCCTATGCTTGGAACAGGAACAGGGACGCTATCTGTGGGGGCCACATAAATTGACAAACTTGTGATTATTAAAGCTGTGTGCTCAAATAGCACTTTAAAATAATGCTTATAGTGGCTGGAAAAGAGATGTTTATGACTCATGACTGTGTTTTTTTTTAAGCACATATTTTAAAAATTCAGTGGTGGAATACGTGTGCTACACATAGTTATGAAAGAAGGCAAGGAACGATATGGAGACAGGATTACTTGGAATGTACATCTTCTACATGTGGAAATCCATTCTACATGTGGAATTCCATTCGCCTTGCTTTTCATCCATCTCTGCTATCATTGTTTAACCTTTGCTCTGATCCCCACTCTGCTGCCAAACATCTAAAGGGCTTTGAATTAAGTAACTTCTTTAAATCATTAACCAATAAATTATATATTAAGCTTAGTTCTTTAGGATAAATCTCAAATAGTCTCCAGTGAGGATTTATCACCATATTAGTTAGAATTATTTTGTTTTTAGGAATAGCTAAGGGAGAGACAGATAGCTTTTATAAAAAATACTGTTGATTTTAATTATATCTATGCTGATCTTTAATTATATCTAAGCTCTTTTTTGTCCCTTACTTTAAAGCTGTGAGTATTCATTTCAAAATTATTGAGTTCATCTAAGATGCTTTCTATACAATATGAAAACTTTCAGTTAGGGAAGGTAACATATAGACATAATATATATGTAATAAGCTGAGTTAGTACTGTGTCTTTAGCTACTCATAACAACAACTATTTCCCTGCAGGTTTAAAATGCAGTGGCTACTGAGTACAATGTGCCTTATCCATGTATTTGGAAAAATATTTTGTTTACTTGAACCAAACAAGAATCCTGAAGCTCACATGAATGTTGTAAGCTATTCATTTATTGTTATTATTATTATTATTATTTATTATTTATTTTTTACAGTGTAGACTTCATCCCCATCCCGGTCTGCCCCCCCTACCATTGATACCCATCCCATACCTCCTCCCCTGCCCCATGTCCAAGAGAATGTCCCCACCCCATACCCCACCCACTCCATCCCACCAGGCCTCCCCCACTCCCTGGAGCATCAAGTCTCCGGAGAGTTAGGTACATCTTCTCTCACTGAGGCCAGACTAGGTAAACGTCTGCTGTATGTGTGTCAGAAGCCTCATATCAGCTGGTGTATGCTAACTGGTTTGTGTCTCAGTGTTGGAAAGACCTTTGGGGGGGGGCAATTCCAGATCAGTTGAGATATCTGACTTCCCATGAGGCCCGCCCTCCTCCTCAGCTTCTTCCAGCTTTGCCCCAGTTCTACCACAGGGGTCCCCCGGCTTCCATTCAGTCCATTGGTTGGGTGGTGATATCTGCATCTGACTTTTTCAGTCAGACTTTGGGCCTCTTGGAGGGAAGCCATACTAGGCTTCTGTCTACAAGTACACTACAACAGTAGTAACAGTGTCAGGTTCTGGGGCCTTCCCTTGAGCTGGATCCCAATTTTGGCCTGTCACTGGATATCCTTTCTTTCATGCTCTTCTCCATTTTTGTCCCTGCAGTTCCTTCAGGCAGGAACAATTCTGGGTCAGAGTTTTTGACTGTGGGGTGGCAACCCCATCCCTCCACTTTATGTCCTGTCCCTCCACTGGAAGTAGACTCTATGAGTTCCCCTTCCCCATTGTAGAGCACTTCATCCAAGGTCCCTCCCTTTGAGTCCTGAGAGTCTCTCACCTCCAAGTCTCTGGTACATTCTAGAAGGTCATACCACCTCCTACCTCCTGAGGTTGCCTGTTTCCATTCTTTCTGCTGGCCCTCCAGGCTTCAGTCCTGTTGCTACCCCAATATCTGATCATGTTCTCCTCTTCCCCTCCCGGTTCTCTCTCCCACCCAGGTCCCTCCCTCCCTCTGCCCCCTCCCTAGGATTGCTTTCTTCTCCCTTCTAAGTGGGACTGAGGCATCCTCACTTGGGCCCTTCAGCTTGTTAAACGTCTTGAGTTCTGTGGATTGTATCTACATTCTGTACTTTTTTTGGCTGATATCCACTTATTAGTGAGTACGTACCATGCATGTTCTTTTGGGTCTGAGTTACCTCACTCAGGATGATATTTTCTAGTTCCATCAATTTGCCTGAAAAACTCATGATGTTCTCATTCTTAATAGCTGAGTAGTATTCCACTGTGCAAATAAACCACATCTTCTGTATTCATTCTTCCATTTGTAGGACATCTGGGTTGTTTCCAACTTTTAGCTTTCACAAATAAGGCTGCTATGAACATAATGAAATATGTGCCCCTGTGGTATCATGGGGCATCTTTTGGGTATATGCCCAAGAGTGGTATAGCTGGGCCTTCAAGTAGATCTAGTTACAATGTTCTAAGCTATTGTCATCACTAATAAAATTAAATGCATTTGCTTTATCTCTATTAGTTTATTTCATCCCTTCTAAATTTTTGCATCTCTTACAATCTGAACAGTTATCAGAATGATGACTTAATACCAAGAAGAAATCATTCTATTTTAAGAATCATGAGAAATGAGTATTTAAAAAAAAGATTCATGAAAATCATTATTGTGTGTTTTCTCTTGTAGAGTGAGATTATTGAACACTGGGGATATCCAAGCGAAGAATATAAGGTTGTGACTGATGATGGTTACATTCTTCCAATTAACCACATTCCTCATGGGAAGAATAATGCTGATAGTTCAGGTAAGATCTGAGTGAGATGAATACTGAAGCTGTCAGCACCCTGAGGCAATGACATGTTAAGCAATGACTTACTAAAGAGTTACCTCCAAACTGAGTTATTTCAAAAGAGCAATTGAAGCTTCCTGACTCCATAGCTGAACTGGGACTTAAAGGAACCCAGCTTTCATTGGTCATTATGAGGACAAGAATGTGTTTCTACAGAGGGTGATGAGTCCCTAAATAATTTACAAGCACACTGCATGTGGGAGATCCCTTAGTTTCCTGTGTGAGCATTCACAGTTTATGCTCCAGATGGTAACACATGAGACCTGGTTCATTCCTCGTATCCAACTAGAAGTCCTGGATGTTCTTAGAGTCCGGTGAGTTTCAAAAAAACTGCATATTAATCTTTGGATGTTTAGTCATTAGTATTTCTGTATATTTGCCTCTTGGATTTTATAAGGTATAAAGCATTCCTTTTAAAAAACTACAAACTATAAAACTTAAAAAATGAACAGATGTGAGGAAATTTATGGTTGAAGAGGATGAGATAGAAGGGAGACCAAGATACTGTAGAAATGAATCTTCTTTTGCACAGTTCCATATTGATTGACATTGACTGACACAACATAAGTGAAATGTAGTCTTAGCACATCCCTGTGTGCTAGTTTTTAAATCTTTTGGCTCCATTACGAGTACTTGATGTTCTTGCTTACATTTTCAGTAGATGCTAATGATGTAAAGCATTTTCATGATTGTTTTTGCAGCCCCAAAGATGGTAGTATTTTGTCAACATGGCTTGTTTTCAACTGCTGGTGTATGGGTTTCCAATCCTCCCAACAACAGCCTGGCCTTCATCCTAGCAGATGCTGGATATGATGTGTGGTTGGGAAACAGCAGAGGAAGTACCTGGGCAAAAGAACATGTGACTCTCAATGCAGATTCTAAAGAATTCTGGGCTTTTAGGTAGGAAACAATTCCATGTGATTTCTACTTTTGCCTGAAAAGAATGTCAAATATTTTAATGGCTAAATAATTTTGTGGAACAGAATTGAAGCCATTTCACTTAGAGTGATTTTAGCAGATTGATTTGGGTGACATAGTCTGGGCCTTTGTATTATGATTACTACACTTAATAATTATAATAAAATTCTCATTATAGACTATTTTATCTTCTTGAAATAACTAAGTAGTCTTCTAATCAATCCATTTATTTTAAAAATTATGCTCTGTGTGTGTGTGTGTGTGTGTGTGTGTGTGTGTGTGGGTGTGGGTGTGTGTGGGTGTGGGTGTGTGTGTCTGTGTGTGCTTCAGTATATGTTTGGAGGCCAGGAAACAAGTTAAGCAAGTTGGCTATATCCTTTATCCATGTTGATCCTGGGGATAAAGTCAGTACAACAGGCTTAGTGACAAGTGCCTGTGCTCACTGAGTGTTATCACAGGGCTCGGTCATGTCTGTATAAAATAATTTTGTTGAAGTAAATTTGATACATGTAAAACAATGATTTGGAAAACATAGGCATTTGCATGCAATCATTCTCAATTACTTGTTATTTAAGCTTGTTTTCTGATTTGTGTGTGTATGTATACATGCATGTGTGTATGAAACATGTATATTCATGTTCAGGTGTTCATGTGAGGATCAGAGCAAAAATTCAAGTGTCTTTTCTTAGGTACAATTTGTCTGTCTGGCTTGGGAATTTCTAAGTAGGTTAGGTTGAGTGCTCAGCCAAATTACTTATTTTTGATCCTACCTTGCTGGAATTTCAGGTAAGCAACAGTATACCTGGCTTTTTTTTTTTTAAGATGGACACCGTGGATCAAACTCACTCCTTAATTGTTTTCACCTGAACTGCATCCTCAGCTAATACTGTTGATATTTTGTCAGAGTAAAGACTGACAGGCATGTGAGAAGAGAGAAGGTTGATTGTATATATGATTGCTTTATGTCACAGAGTAGAATATTACCTCATTAATTTGTTTAATCAACTTCCGTTACATGTTCATCTTCGTACCTTTAGCAATCTCTTTTTCTCTCCCTCTCCTTTTCCCTCTTCCTCTCCCTCTTTCTCCCCCAGCAGGAGCCTGGGGGAGATTTTGCAACCTACTTCCCAATCTTAAATCATATAATGTTCATTTGGACAACCTAGAATTTTTGAAAATTTGGCTCCAGAGCAAAAGTGCTCAGAATTAAGTCTAACAGTTCATTTACCATGAACGTAGCAATGCCAGCCCAATTCTGTGCAATGTGTATAATCGTGGACAAATGTCATGGGAAATTTGTGATCACAGAGAAATGGTGAACATAAGGTGGTTACATAGTGAACATGTGGGTAGTAATTCATAATTGACACTTTTTGAACTGTCACATAGATCACATAGAGACATCATTTCAAACAGAAATAAATTATTTATTGGTTAGTAACTAAATCATCTTTTCTCCACTCTGTTTTCTTGCAGTTTTGATCAAATGATAACATATGACCTTCCGGCTACTATTAATTTCATTCTGGAGAAAACAGGACAAAAGCAGATTTACTATATTGGCCATTCTCAAGGAACACTTATTGGTATGAGAGAAAAGAACAATGCTGAAATTTATCCTGAAGAACACAAATATATACATATAATTTGCACCTCTTTGTAAAACAGAAACGCTCTGACAGATGATAACAACTGTAGTCTGCTTTAAAATGTCAAATGTTGAAATCATAGCCTCTAACTCATAAAATATTTAAATGAAGTACATATATGGGGTATGCTAGGGTTCTCTATACCTAGAACTTCTGAGACCAATAACTCACTGTGTGTGTGTGTGTGTGTGTGTGTGTGTGTGTGTGTGTGTGTGTGGTGTGTTCTTTCTCAAATGGTATCACATGTGTTGAAAATCAGAGTGTTCATTTTTCTTAGAAAACGCTTTATGAATCTGTCTCCACTGTCTTGGTCAGCTCTCACAGAGCTTTGATTGATATTCTTTGGGTTTGAAGAAAGTATATATTTTCTTTTTTTAAAAAAAGGTTTATTTATTTATTTATTTATTGTATATATGAGTACATGGTAACTGTCGTCAAACACACAAGAAGAAGACATCAGATCTCACTATAGATGGTTGTGAGCCACCGTGTAGTTGCTGGGAATCGAACTCAGGACCTCTGGAAGTGCAGTCAGTGCTCTTAACTGCTGAGACATCTCACCAGCCCCAAAGTGTATATCTTCAAAGAACAAGTGTGACCAAGGATAGATGGTTCCAACTGTCTGACTGTCAGGAAAAATAGTTCTAGCTAATGCATCCACTTGTCCAATTTATAATGTGATAAATAGATAGATGATTGGTAGACAGATAAAATGATTGTATAAAGATAAGTAGTTAGATTTGTATATAGGTGTGCACCTGCACGAGTGGACTGGAGATGCTACAGGGAGGACATTTGAAGGTATAAATGACTAGACATCATTAAAGATCAATATGTGAAATTTTGGGTAGGTGTCTTTTTCCAATAGTCAGGGGAGATTTTAATTTTTAAAAGTGCTAAGCCAATCCTTAAATTTGGTCAGTCTGGCTACTCAAATATGTCAGCCAGCAATCAAAAGCTCACAGGCTATCTATTAGTTCTTAAAAATTGTAAACAAGGTTCACATTGGCCAGAACAAAAGGAAACTAGGTACAACAGCCCAGAGAAGAAAATGCCAAAGTGACAGAATTCCAGAAGTTATTAGAGAGATCCTTTAAAGGGAGAATATTTTTCCTCTTCCAGACTCATTTTTTTTCTAATGATGAATCATAAACTACACCATTCAGGGTAAATGGTTGGGGGAGAAGCAAATCTAATAGAATGTAAAGAGTTTAACATCTTAGCACTCTGATGGGTAAACTAAGGGAAACCTTCAGGACCAAGTTTAAATGTCTGGCAAAGAGCAAGCATATATATATTTATATTTCTTTCAGCTCTGGGAGCATTTTCAACAAATCAAGAACTGGCTGAAAAGATTAAACTCAGCATTTTAATAGCTCCAATTGAGACAGTTAAACATGTCGAAGGTTCTGGGCGTCTTCCAGCTTATTACTCTCCAATGGAATTCAAGGTTTGTGATGAACTCAAAGTGGTGCTATACTTACACTTTGCAAAATAAGATTGCTAAAGAAGCTGTCTCCCAGTACAATCTGTGCTCACTCACCTGCGTAGCCTCCCACAATGACCACAGTGAATCTAACCTCAAAGTTGGACAGCCTGTGCTTTGTCCTGTGCATTTTTTGTAGCATGAATGTATTTTTCTTTTATCTATACTTTTTAATATTTTACCTGTTTCATATTAATTTATTTTTATTTTTGAGAATTTTATACATTTGTAGGATATCCATATCATTCCCATCCCTCCCTATACATTCAACTCCTCTGTACCCACTCCCCTCTCTCTCTGTACCCACTCCCCTGCAAATTCATGACTGTGTCCTTAAATATCACCATTACACACACATACACATACCTACTAAGTTTATTCAGTGTTTCTTGTGTGTATGTGCATAATTTTATGGATGATTACTTTGTCTCAGATAATCTTTTGAAATGTTTTCGAATGTAGTTTACCTTACCTACTATTTCACTTTCAAGTTTTCTATCAGCGTCTTCAGAGACAAAACTACTTAGATTCATTTTTTAAATTAGTAAAGATATAATTTGTCTAAAATCCATGGTCCTATTTTATTTGTGTCACTGCCTTTATTATCACAGAGTATCCCATATCATTCTACTAATAAATACAGAATGCCAGAATATAAGGTACAGAAGTCTAATTTTGCCCTCTAGGCTAGTTACAGTCTAATCACTACTAAAACATTCAATTACTGTGCTGCTTAGACACTGCCTTATCTCAAACTTTCAGTACTCCTGAATCTTTCCCATTCCATTGCCTGGCCTTGAATTTGTTCCCTCAACTAGATGTGCAGTTCATAGACAGCTGAATCACAGAATAGAATCTATAAGGGTCTTTGAATTTCACTTTCCTCTCTTTAGACGGAAGCTTTAGCTGCCTTCAATTTTTCCAAATCTCATTTGTTTTTAAAGATTAAAAAGCTGGGAATTATCTTTGGGTAACAGATGTGCAATGTAACACTGAGCTAATTAGAGTCATCTTTTTCATGTTACACTCTCTCATAGCCTAATATGCAGTGTTTGAGAACTCTTGTTTTGTATGTATTTTATGTGTGTGTTTCTATTAACACTATCTGATACCATTTCTAAATGAAGCTACCATGGTCCCCTTCCCCCAGCATCTCAAATTACCTGTGTGTCTATTAAAGCTGTTGATCTTAGTCATTTCATATAGATGGAATCATGTGCTTTGGGGTCCTCTGTCTTGGCTATCTCAGTTGATGTAACTATTGTTAGTTCATCTCTGGTGTAGTATTACAGCAACTTCTTCTGCGAAAGAATAATAATCTCTTGTATAAATGTAACACATCACTTAATCTACATACCACTACTGACAGAGTTTTCAGTGGTTTTTTTGGATTGCCCCTTTGCAAGATTTTGTGTGAACATGTTTTCATTTTACACTAATCATACTTCAAACTATAAACATTTCTATACAGTGTTAAGTTCAACAAGTCCACCAGGCATTAACCCTGTGTAAACCCTCCCCAATAAAGGAACAGAAAGATTGCTGTCACCTACAATGTTCATGATTCTCGGAATTTTTCATTCAATTTGAATGAAAAATTATTTATTAAAATAAATGTAGCACATTTTATCAAATCATGTACTGAATATCATGATCAGTGAACTAAGCTAATTCACCCTTCAGTAACAGTAGTGTTCTCTTGTGTCTCACTCCCTGTAAACACTGTACTTCTATCAGACAAAACACTTTCTCACACTAAGAGCTGCCCTTTACATTTGTCAATTTCAGCTCCTTTTTGGTAAAAAAGAATTTTTACCTACTGTGGCTTTCAGTGAGCTGTCTCCAGTTGCATGCAATATTAAGTTGGTCGATTCTGGATGTGCTGCTGTACTGGGATCACTGACTGGGTATTCTGAAGGGCAGTTAAATAAGGTAGGCTTTGTTTTCTTTCAAATTCATCATTGGTGTGTGGTGTGTGTGTGTGTGTGTGTGTGTGTGTGTGTGTGTGCGCGCGCGCGTGTGTGTGTTGCTAAGATAACAACTGTATCTGGTAAATTAATTTTAATTCATTTAGCCGGGTACATATTGAAATCAAGATGTACTTTGCATACAATTCCAAGTTCTCAACATGTGAACACAGATCTGTTGCCCACCAGTTATGAATGTATAGCTGGGTATCAGGTATGGGTGAGTTCCATCTTTTCTTCTACTCAGTTCAGTCAAATGAATCTGCTGTCATTAATTAAATAACTGATCACCCAGTTCAGCACCTGTGATCCAGAATTAAGGATAGCTCCACGTAAACTACCACACACAGAATATGAGTCATTAACAAAAAGAAATTCTTTAAGACATGAAAAGTCAATGAAATATTCTTGTTACATTAAGAAATGTTTTCATTTTTAATTTTTTGAAACAAAAATACAATTACATCACTTTTCACTTTTTCTGCTCTCCAACCCCACCCCATACATTCCTTTACTCTCTCCAAAAGTTGTGACCTATAAAGTCTTTTTTCTTTAATTCTTATTACATATTCCTAAATATATAAATACAACCTTCTCAAGCCATATAATGTTACTTGCATGTCTATGATTTCATGGCTCACCACTGAGTTTTGTTAAGTAGAAATAGTGCTCACACCAAAAGTTTGGTGTGAGCTTCTCACAAGAGTTGACTCTAATTTCTTTAACAATACATACATGTTTTGTATGTCTTGATGTTAAGTAGTTTGGAGGATATGATTTGCTATGAAGCTAAAAGAATTAGCAAACTTTAGATATTAACAAAATCTAAACCATTCACTTACTTTTCGTGTCTTAAGAATTTCTTTTTTTAATGATTCACATTGTATGTAGTAGTTTATGTGGAGCTGTCCATTCTGCAACCAATGTGGTGAACTGGGTAATTAGTTACTTGAAAAATGACTGCTTACTGTCAAAATCCAGACTTTCTCTATAAACTGATTGGAGATATATAGCTTTTATCTTTTTATACTGTGTGCATGAGTGCTTTACTTGTATGTGTGTTTGTTCACATTATGATGTACATAGGGGTCACTGAGTACTAGTGAACTGGAGCTAGAGGTGGCTGTGAGCCTCTATATATGTGCTCAGAATTGAATGTGGGTCCTTCACAAGAACCACTGTTCATTTTATATGGAAGTAGTTCAGCCTCACTCTTTTGAAAGAAATTGTTTCTGTGGAAGGAAATTAAATGCTGACAAATATATGATGTGTCTTATTTTCTCCTAGAGTCGTGTTGATGTGTACATAACACACAGTCTAGCAGGAACATCAGTTCAAATTCTTACACACTATGGTCAGGTACAAATGTGTCCCTTTTCTTCCTTCTACTTTTGAGACTGTCCTTGTAAGTTTCAGAAAATCTTTCTCTGGTTGGCTTTGTGGTCAGGGTATTCCATCCCAAGTAATAGATTACAGGAAACATATTGGTACATAGAACCTTTGTAAAAAAAAAAAAAAAGAATGTGAAAAAAGCGGAATGGTCATTTTATCCTAAAAGAGAATGGCTTTCTATTCCAATCAGCAAATCTATGTACATATATTATATAACAATTAGCATCAGCTTTAGTAAATAATTTCCAAAAACTGATGCAAGATGAAAATTATAGGTGTCCTTGAGGTCTGTGAGTAAACTGATAAGTTTTACACCTACTTATTCTCCTATGTGTCAACCAAAACACTATGGATAGAATCTGGTGATCCTACTAATGTCATTTGACAAGAGGTAAACTGGTACCTAAACAGGGAGCAAGTCATATTAGAAGGCTTTTTGCTTTCTTTTGTTTTGTTTTGTTTCAATTCTGGTCAAAGATATATCACATAATTCTATACATTGTATGTCATTTGTCTTAATGGTATGAAAATTTGTAAACTATTATCCCATTATCAATAAGTCAGAATATTTTACCTCCTAAGATATGTTGCTTTAGAATGCTTTGTTGAATATTCAACTTAACACTCCCTTAATATTTTTTGACAATTCTTGTACTGTGTAAAGTTAAAGAACAATTATGTAAATGAAATTATATATGAAGGATAAAAATTTTGTTACATAAAATATTGATCCAAAGAGCAACCAAATTATTCTGAAGTATATTTCGAATTCATTTGAATAGAGAAGTAAAGTAACTTTTACAAGTACTAATTTGAGATTTTACATTTTTTTCTCCTTATAAGCATTAATTTAGATTCTTAGCATTAAATGCATTGGATAATTAAAAAATTATAAGCTGAGATTTGCTACATACTGCTAAACCTAAATATAGCATAAAATGATGCATCATTATGCATAAATAACTAAGCTTTTATCATTCATGAATGATGTTTTCTCAGCTTCTTATTGACCATTTTGCTGTCAAATACATATTAATGGGTACAGTTAAAGTAGTGTAAAATTGTTGTGAAGTATATTTTGTTTGAGGTGTTATAAATGTAAAAATATTTTCAAGGTCCTTTTCACACTTATTCGTAAAATGTGTAGTACTCTAGCACTTTAATTTAGTAGCCATTGATCAAACAACACATATCATTAAGATAGAAAAATGTACTGAATTTATCTGGGCCAATGTGTCATTACTGTAAAAAGCGGCAATATAACTCAATAAATGTTGATTCTGTCATAAAATAAGCCTTTCTAATTAATGGTATGTTTTATCTCTATTTAAGGCAATTAGAAGTGGTGTGTTTCAAGCTTATGACTGGGGAAGTCCATCTCTGAATATGCAGCACTACAATCAGGTAAGTCTCTTTTTTCAGGATTAATGATCTGGCCCTTACAAAAGGTATATAGTCTAAGAAATCTAAACAAAGTCCTAGTTTTTAAAACAAGACTTTGGGACACTTCATTTTTCTTAGGAAGGAGGGCTGCACAGAACTTTGAGAGGAATCAAAATGAATAGCATTATCTTTTGTATGATGATACTGTGACAAAGTTCTGTCTAACACATCATTTGAATCTGACAAAACAATGTGGGATTTATCAGACACTTGTTGATATAGTCATTTCACATGTAGAAATCCAGGTTCAGAGAACTTGGGACTTGTATGATCTCAAGCTTGGATGACAGACCACTATAATAGAAGGGTGGTGGCACACAGCAGTAACCTCAGGATTAAGGACAGTGAGAAGAGAGAGGCATAGACTACAGAGAGAGTAGCTGTGACAAAACTACAGTAAATACATATATAAATATAAGATTAATTTTTATCTGACAAAGGCGGAGATCAATGACTTCAGTGAACACAATAAATGCGTCATTACAATTATCCTGTCACAGATGAGAATAGGCCATGAAGAGTTTGCTATTTTTGTTAATGTCTTGTTGAATTTTTGTTAAATTTTTTTGTTAATGCATTGCTCTTTGTGATTTTCCTTCAGACTACTCCTCCAGTATACAATGTGGAAGACATGAAGGTTCCAACTGCCATGTTTAGTGGTCTTAAAGATTTTTTGTCTAACCCAGAAGATGTAGCAAATTTGGTACCTAAAATCTCCAGCCTCACATACCATAAGACTATTTCTGATTTTAGCCATCTTGATTTTATAGTGGGATTAAATGCCAAGGAAGAGGTTTCTGAGGAAATTTTAACAATGCTTGGGAAATATGATAGTGATGTTTAGCTTTAGTTTTGGGCATGTTTTTAAACCTTTCTGAAAGTCTCTTGTTTTTATAGGTGCAAATATTTTCTTGCTTGGCATTTTCCTCCACAATTATCTTTTTATAAAAAGCTATGATTCATTTTTGGATCATTTGCATTAGTGAAATTTATGACTTTCATGAGAATACTTCCTCTTGCAACTGTTTTTAATTAATCTAAGTTTATATATTTTGACATGATTGCTCCTGAAGAAAAGACCTACTTTTAATTTGCAGTAATGAAAGTAATGATAAAGGAAGAGGCCTGGCTCATACTGTGATATCAGATATCATGCTGTCTGAAGAACACATCACAGCATGTTTCATACATTAGGACCAAGGCTCTAGAAAGGCAATCAATCTTGTTGTTTAGATTCCACAAGTCTTAGTCACTAGTTTCATTGCGAACTTCCCCTGTCATATTACCAGTGTGGACCAGGCACTGTTTGAATAAATCACTTATGTCAATATTTTCTAGCATGAGTGGAAAAGGAAATATTTAAAGTTATCTGAGATATTAAAAATAACTCACAGGGTTGATCATCTATTGAATCTCCTGTATAATATAGTATTTTGAACTCTGCTTTGCAACACAAAGTGACCACAAATTCAAACACAATTTTAATTTTATTATTAAAATTTTAATCTAACTTAGATTTTTTTAACCCTAAAGTAATAATTCTGGACATAGTTTGAACAATATAAAGAGCAACCATGCCCAGTCTCAAATGTATTTTTCTTACAGTCTTTTCCATGATTATAAAGATGTGTATGTGATTGTGTGTGTGTACATGTGCACATGTGTGCATATATGCTAAATTCCTTCTATTCTAAGTTTCTGTGGGACTTTTACTTGATTAAATATTGGAATTCTATGAAACGCCTTTTCCATCTATTGATTTCCACATGATTACTGTCTTTGGTCCATTTATGGGATCATTATTACATTTATTGGCTTGGGATACGGCAAATCATCCCTGTAATATTTCTGGAATAAGATCAACTTATTAATGATAAGTGGTTTTCTGTTTCTTAAAGTATTTTTTATTTTTCTTTAATACATTGCATTAATACATTACATGTATTTCTTTAATACATTGCTGCAGTTTCCACTCCCTCCACTCCTTCCAGCCCCCTGCTCCTATCTTCCGTCTCATCCAGTTCCACTTCTCTTCCATTTTCCTTCAGAAACATACAGGCTTCCCAAGGTATCACAAGTTACAGTCAGAGTACACAAAGAAGAAGGGGAAATAGAATGGATTTGGTGGATGGACTTGGGGAAGGTGGAAATGAGAAGAAGGATCAGGTGAGGAGGGAATGGAGGAAAGAACACTAGGAGAGACAATTGGAATTGAAAGCATTTGAGGAGAAGAGGTATAAACTTAGTGCAGTGAGAATCTACTGGAATCTACAAGGATGTCCCTAGCAAAGACTTCTAGCACTGGGGGATATGGAGCCAGACCCTGCTGTCCTCTGTAATCAGCCAAGGTTTTTCCAGTGATGGTACTGGGATAAGAAGCAGGCTGCAAAACCTTCAACTTTCAACCTCTCCTTGGCAGATGCCATACAGGAGGAGCTGCAGTGGGCAACTAAACTCTCTGTAGACAGCCCACCAGTTTGCATGACTATGGTGGGTGAATCCTGGAAAGGCACAGCCCCAGAAGCTGTGTCCCAGGATTACTTTTTGATGCTGGTGTGCCTTCTCATGTTTGTCTTTGCTGTATTCCTCATCTTTCTGACATGGTGTGATTGGGCAAAGGAGGATTATTTCTGCCTATAGTCTGTTATGATGGATTCCCACGTATTAGCACATCCTATTTTGTACAATTCCCTGCAGATAAACATGAAGATGAACTTTTATGAACTAATGCTTTTTTGATTAAATAATGATTTTATATAATTCCTGATATGATTCAAATAATTTAGGAAGCTAGAGTAATTGACAGACAATTTAAGGAGATAGTTTAAGTTGTTTTGCCAGAAAGATGGAATAAAGCTGAAATCAAGAATAGGATGTGCTCCCTCCTCATAGAACAGTAAGTGTAGGCTCCATGAAAAGCAATAGACTAAGCATTTGTGTGCTACAAGCAAGTAAACTTCAGGAGGAAGAAAAATAGGCTTGGACCAATAGGTGATCAGTACAAATATTCATTCTAGGTCAGGTCCAGGGATGAAGTCACAGACAGGTCTTATGATAAATCTAAGGCCATGATCTGAGAGTGGGTAATTCTATTTAAAAAAAACCTACTGATTTGAACTTATAAGAAGAGTTTATGAAATGAAAGATAGATAAATCTGTTGCTTTGAACTTATAATCAAAAATTTTGCCTTAACTCTCTTGTGTAAAATTTTATTTGTTGTTGAGTGAGGTAATTTTTCTCATTTCCTTTTGTGTATGTGTGTGTGTGGAGCACATGTGTTTATGCATGTGTGCACCAGATTCTACTTCCTAGAAAAAAAGGAAAATAATTTATATTATAGTTTTATAAGACAAAATGCTTATGCCAACCATCTTCTGAAGAGAAAATACAAAGTTGTATCAAGTGTACAAATACATGTTAGCATTTGCTGTAAGATTTTTTGCTATGTTTTTCTGTTAATATTTCTTTCTAATTAATTCATGGATGTTTTCATGAATTTTGGTGCCTAATACATTTCATTTCAATGCTTGGAAGATATCCTTCACATTTGTACTTAGCTTTTTTTTAACAGAAAAACTCCCTCTAGATCTTGACTTTTTACCTTTGAAAGAAGGCTTCTTGCTACATGAATCTATGTACAACAAACTTCAACATGTTTTGATAAAATGACTGACAGAATGCTTCTAAGCAAACCAGAAGGACATATATGTTGTTTTAAAAATTACATTTTTAGAGTCATTAATCTGTTTTTTCTTTTCATGACACAGTAAGGAACATTCGGGGAGAACCAGTATATGGGAGGAAGCACTATGGCAGGTGACAAATCATGGAGCAAATGATGCTCAGACGAGGTTTTAGAACCATGTCAATCTTAGGAGCTTTGGTTTTTTTTTTAACAATTCTTTTATTGATTATTTTATTTATTTACATTTCAAATGTTATTCCCCTTCTTGATTTCCCATCCACACACCCCCTAGCCCATCCCCCACCTCCTGCTTCTATGAGGGTGCTACCTCAACGACCTACTTCTCTCGCTTCACCGCCTTAACATTCCTATACATTGAGGCATCTAGCCTTCACAGGACCAAGATTCTCCCCTCCCATTGATGCCCAACAAGGCCATCCATTGCTACATATGCAGTGGGAGCCATGGATCCCTCTTTGTGTATTCTTTGGCTAGTTGGTGGTTTAGTTTCTGAGAGATCTGGGGGTTCTGGTTGGTTGACATTGTTGTTCTTCCTATGAAGTTTTGAAAACCCCTTCAGCTCCTTTAGTCCTTTCCCTAACTCCTCCATTGGGGACTCAGTCTGATGGTTGGCTGCAAGTATCCACATCTGTATTGGTAACGTCTGGCAGAGCATCTCAGGATACAGCTATATCAGGCTCCTGTCAGCGAGCACTTCTTGGCATCAGCAATAGTGTCTGGGATTGGTGTCTGCAGATGGGATGGATCCCTAGGTGGGGCAGTCTCTGGATGGCCTTTCCTTCAGTCTCTGCTCCACTCTTTGTCCCTGTATTTCTTTTAGACAGGAGCAATTCTGGGTTAATATTTTGTGATGAGTGGGTGCCCCCATCCCTCAACCAGAGGCTATGCCTAAACTCTGGATATAGTCTCTACAGGTTCTTTGTCCCCTTTGATGTTTATTTCAGCTAATGTCATCCCTGTTGGGTCTTGGGATCCTCTTGATTTCCTGGTATCTAGGACTTTCTGGTGGCTACCCCCAGTTCCACATCCCCCATTACTAAACACCTCTGTTCAATTTCTTGACCCTCTGTACATCTCCCCTGTCTCCTCCCACACATGATCATGCCCCATTTTTACTCCTAAGACCTTCCTCCTCCTCACTACCTCCCAAGTCCCTCCCACCATCTACCTCCTGTGATTATTTTGTTCTCCCTTCTAAGTAGTACTGAAGCATCCACACTTTGGTCTTCCTTCTTCTTGAGCTTCATATGATCTGTGAATTGTATCATGGGTATTCTGATTTTTTTCTTAATATCCACATTTCAGTGAGTACATATCATGTGTGTTCTTTTGTGACTGGATTACCTCACTCAGGATGATATTTTCTAGTTCTATCCATTTGCCTAAGAATTTCATGAAGTCATTGTATTTAATAGCTGAATAGTACTCCTTTGTGTAAATGTATCACATTTTCTGTATCCATTCCTCTGTTGAAGGACATCTAGGTTCTTTCTAGTTTCCAGTTATTATAAATGAGGCTGCTATGAACATAGTGGAGCATGTGTCTTTGTTATATGTTGGCACATCTTCTGGGTGTATGCCCAAGAGTGGTATAGCTTGGTCCTTAGGTAGTACTATGTCCAATTTTCTGAGGAACTGCCAGACTGATTTCCAGAGTGGCTGTATCAGCTTGCAATCCCACCTGCAATGGATGAATGTTCTTCTTTCTCCATATCATCTACAGCATTTGCTGTCACCTGAGTTTTTGATCTTAGCCATTCTGATTGATGTGAGGTAGAATATCAGGTTCATTTTGATTTGCATTTCCCTGATGGCTAAGGATGTTGAACACTTCTTTAGATGCTTCTCAGTCATTTGAGATTCCTCAGTTTAGGACTCTTTTTTAGCTCTGTATCTCATTTTTAAATTGCGTTATTTGGTTCTCTGAAGTCTAACTTCTTGAGTTCTCTCTGTATATTGGATATTAGCCCTCTATCAGATGTAGGATTCGTAAAGATTTTTACCAATCTGTAGGCTGCTGTTTTGTCTTGATGACAGTTTCCTTTTCATTACAGTAGCTTTGCAATTTTATGAGATCCCATTTGTCTATAGCTTATCTTACAACCTGTGTCATTGGTGTTCTGTTCAAGAAATTTTT